AGCTCCAGTAGCAAAAACAAAATCACGCATCCCAGATAGGAGTGGTGCGTGTTGAGCAGACTTGGAGGATCCAAGCTTTGTTGCAGAAACTTACTCACCTTAGGTAGGCCAGTCATTCCCCCCTTTTTCAGCATAGCCTACCTCACTGAGGAGTTGTAAGGATAAATGAGGAGGGAGAGAACCATATATGCCACCTTGACCTCTTTGGAGGTCCAAATAAAATGAAATAAATAATATTCTATCTCACTGCCTCAGGCAAACCAGCCCTCAGAATTAGTTTTTGCAGGCCCATGCACCTCTTTGCATTTGGCTTTTCACATTTGAGGTGTATATGTTCAGGACCCACCTTGTTTTTGTGATTAAACTGGTTTTTAATATTGTGTTATAATGTTGTAACCCACGTGGAGCCTGAGGCTGAAGGTGCCCACCTTAAATCATCATCGTCATCATCAATGATTAGCACTGATGTGTACATGTTCCAGTGGTATTAATTTTACCTCATGAATTTTCTCTCGTCATGAGTCAGATTGGCGAATCGCTAAAGATGGAGATTGGACTGCCATGTGAGGGGAAATTTTCCTTCAAACTGGTGTCGTCTATGAAGGAAATTGCCTTTTAAAAAAAAATCTGCCCTTGAGAAAGAAAATGTAGACCTTGGGATGCAATACATCCCTTGCCAACTGAGGTGTCCACTTGAAAAACACAATATTCCCCCAAAAACGTTCGTTACTCCACATGTAGAAAAACGCAGGTTGATGTATAGCTAATTGGATGGCAGACTTGGCTGGAAAGGGTTTCAATTTCTCCTCCCTTTCCTCACACGCTCCTGCTCCATTCGCACCCATTGCATCAGCTTTACCTAAACACTGAACCCCCCATTACCTGTAATTTGGTTCTCATTCAAGCATAAACCTCTGTCTGGATTGTACCACCAGATTGCCAATGGAGAGGCCCACATAATTCAGTCCTCTTTCATAAACAACCATTTCCTGCACATAGAGAGCTGGCGGTAAGGAATATGGCTAGTCTAAAACCCTCCCTAACATCTAGCTTTCTAAGTGTAGGGGCTATTTTTTGTATGGAGGGGCATTAAATCACACAAGGTCGCACCTGCAGAGGCACCTCATGTGAACCTTTGGGGGGGGGGCAGGATAAAGATGCTTTAAATATAGAGAAATAAATATAACTCTAGCTGAACTATCTGGCACTACGTTGGTGTGGACAAACACAAACCACCCACACTTTGGGCTGTGTTAATAGGACACCAAGTGCTTTCCTCCCTACTTAAAAAACAATGCCTTGAAGGAAAGTAACAGGCAAGTGGCACTGAAGAAATCCCGGTGTGTTTATACAGAACCACAAAGTTTTGAATTCCATGAAGTTGCAAGGTCGTTTTGAAAGACCTTTGCATTTCCTCAGTATGCCAAGCTTGGCTTGCACCCAGATGGTTGGTTCTCACATGGCTGGCCTAGCACTGAAGTGGCAGGGAAACATACCTTTGAGGAAGAGAGAGGGAGGGAGAGGGGTGGGAGAGAGAGAGAGAGAGAGAGAGAGAGAGAGAGAGAGATATGGTACAATAGTTCCTCTTTCAGATTGTGTTTGCTCTTCTGATCACAGACGGACTTTTGGTTCTCAAATTTAAGCAGCGCCCTGTAAAATGCTAAAATTCAGCACCCCCTCCCTCACACTCTGTTCTACATGGCACTCCCTGATGTGTGGCATCCAGTGTGACCAAACCAATCGCACCATCCTGTTCTGACCCTTCTGGTGGTTAACAGGTCTGGAGAACTCTCAGAAATTCAACAATAAGAAGCATATTTCTAACCTTCCTTTCCTCAATGCAAGTCATGTACAAGACTTCTCCCCTACCTCTTTCTTTCTTTTCTTTCTTTCTTTCTTTCTTTCTTTCTTTCTTTCTTTCTTTCTTTCTTTCTTTCTTTCTTTCTACAACAGTACTAGGGATCAGGGTTCTAAATTGCAAGAGGAACCTACACACACATGCACACACACACCGGGCTCCTTACTTAAGACTCCCCCTACCCTGCTAAAATAAAAAATCAGGGAGGCAGCAAGCGCATAATGGCAGAAACAAGTCCAGCAGACATACCTTTGCTCTTCCTCCAGCATGACTGTAATTGTGTGAGAAGACTAAAAAGGGCTTCTGGGATGGTGCCCAGGCTAGCTCAAGGGCACCCAGTGAGCTTTATGGATGACTGGGGTTTAAACTCAGGTTTCCCTGTTCTTATTTTGACATACACCACAGTGGCTCTGATCAAGATCACTGCTATATACTGTAGTAATGGGTAAACCCTATTGGCTTCACTGCAGGCAGTTTGGGTGCAGAGTAGAACGTTTGCATCCAGCTCCACCAGAACTCAGTTCAATCCACTCCTGACATGTACCACAAGGTCTAGAGCAGCCTAGTGCCCTTCTCAATGGCACATAGCTGTGAAACACAAAGATCCTTCCCTGACCCTCAAGATGTTGCTGAACAGCAGTTCATGGCCAACAGTTAGGAATGCACTAGAGGACCACACATTCCTGCCTCTGCCTCAGACCATGTGAAGTTGTAGTCTAGAGTTGCTGGTAAATGCCCTTCGACTCCATACCTGTTAATGCTACCAGCCTCAGGCAGAAGCCCAGTGCTGGATTAAACCCTGAGGAGGCCCCATGGCAGTCAAAATCTCATGGTCCCCCTTTTGCTCATGCTCTAGTGGGATAATACTGAGCTGAGAAATCTTGATTGTAATTTTCTTTCAAGATCAAATCAATATTATTTTGATCCAGTCGCCAGGACCCTAAAAAGCATGGGGCCCATAAGCCAGTGCATGCTTTGCCTATTTGGTAATCTGGAACGCCATAGGCCACATTCACACTGTACATTTAAAGCACTATGGTTCCACTTTAAACAGTCATGGCTTTCCCCAAAGAATTATGGGAGCAGGAGTTTGATCAGGGTTCTGGGAGTAGTTGGTAGACCCTTATTGCCCTCACAGAGCTGCAATCCTCAGAGTTCCCTGTAAAGATTAAGGCATTCTGGGAACTGTAGTTCTGTGAGGAGAATATGAGTCTCCTAACAACTCTCAGCACCCTTAATGAACACCAGGAAGCCATGACTATTTAAAGTGGTCCCTTCTGTGATGCTTCTGTGATGTGCCTGTGGCCATAGCAAGGGTGATGCTCTTTTGAGTCCCCGTTTTGTTTCAGATAATACTTCTGACCCAATCAATTGACGTTTCCCAGCATTGGGCTGCTAATAGTACAGAGGACTCAGCTGGCCCTTTCTAATAAAAAAATGAAAAATTGGAAAAGAAATTATGAAAGGGAAACAGAGGCAGGAAGTGTCACAGCAGAAGATTCCTATGAGAAAAGAAGAGTTGGCGTTAGATTATGTTTGGGTGTCAAAGCAGCAAACCAAAAGCAAAACAAGTGGTGCTAATCTAGCCCACTAAGGAGAAGATTGAAATGGGAAGGTGATAATAGTATTTAGTTTGAAAGGAGGATTAAAAGAAGTAAGTGGGAAGAATGGAGGGGGTGGGAGCAAATGTCAGAGGCACAAAGCAATCAGAAGTTTTAAAATAGGATCCAGGAACTTAAGGTATCTTTGCAGCTGCTTTCCTTTCCCTCACCGCTTCCAGCCTTTGTAACTTTGCAGGAATCAGACAAGGAGGAGGGGAAGGCACGCAAGGCCTAAGAGGTCATAGACCGGGAGATTGGGAAGAGGACAGCTGCTGTACTGTATCTGCATCTGCCCTCTGCGTGACTGAGCAGATAGCAAAGATATCAGAAAGAAGGTTCAGAATATAGGTACTTTGGTGAGCTATAATGGGTTTTTCCCCCTCCCTGAAGCTTAGGAGTACCATTTCACTTAACGTATTTCACATGCGTTATCATTGGACTTGTAACAACAGAGGGACATTCAGCAGATGGAATGCTGTTCGGACTGACCTTTCCAAATATTCAGAGCTATAGCTGAATGGCAGCATGCAAGGTTGTCCCGGAATTCGGAAAACAGAGCAGTGGTTTCAGAAGGGGGACGGCTGTAAATAGGAGCTGGGGGGAGGGATGGACAAAACTAGGAGCAAGGGGCCCCTTTTGCTGTCAAGGGCTGCATTCCCCTAGGACAGGGTTCCTCAAATGGTGGGACAGGGCTATCAGTGAGCCTCAGCTCCAGGTGGGCTCCAGTGCCACAGCCTCCTCATTCAGCAGCCCTACCCCCTAGCCGAATCGAAGACTTTTGGTTGGAATTATGCCACCCTTGTCAACTCCCCATAGGCTGGGTAAAGATGATTGGGAGAGAGAAGTCTAGATGGGAGGTGTAGTTTTCTACAGGGCCAGAGGAGCTGTGAAAGTAACGCCCCAGCTGTATCATGACATCTTAGCCCTTAATGTACCAAATTTTAAGATACCGTGGGCACAGAGATGCTTTTGGTTCCTGTGCCGTTAACAGTGAAATTTGTTTCCTTGGGATCTTCCAGTGGAACTGTGAAGAATTTTCAATTTGGACAGGCTGACACAGGAAATGTGTGATTTGATGTATGTTTTATTATACTACAGCACTGTGTGGTATAGAGGTTAGAGTGCTACGATGTCCGCCCTGGAACTCAGAATCATTGAATCATAGGACTGTAGAGTTGGAAGGTACCTGAGGGTCATCTAGTCCAACCCCTTGCAATGCAGGAATCTCAACTAAAGCATCCATGACAGGTGGCAATTCAACTTCTACAAAAAAAAAACAACAAAAGAAAAACATTCAGTGGTGGAGTGCACCACTCTCCAATGGAGTCCGTTCCACTGTCGAACAGCTTTTACTGTCAGAAAGTTCTTCCTAACGTCTAGTCGGAATCTCCTTTCTTGTAACTTGAAGCCATTGGTTCAGGTCCTACCTTTCAGAGCAGGGGGGGAACCAAACTTGCTTCATGAAGCTCACTGGGTGACCTTGGGACCATCATTCACTTTCAGCCAAACTACATCAGAGGTGTGTTGAGACGATCAGGTAAGGTTGCCCCCCACCTGACCTCATGGGACAAAAGACCATGCAAATGCAGCAAATAAGCTAAATAAAGGGTTATTAAAATAGTAATAATGCAATCCTGAACAAAATCTGGCATTCCAAGATAAAAGAGATGGCAAGGAGACAGTTTTAAGCATGCTCAGATGAAGCTATTATAAAGATGTGACTTTTAGAATTGGTGATAACATGCCACCTAGTGGCCTGCCCTTTTTAAAGCAAAAGATGAGTAGTACTAAAAGGCATTCCGTTGCCATTTAATGCAGTTCAAAAACCATCTATTTCTTGGTTCTTTCAGTGCAAACAGAAGCGTCAAGGCCTCCAAGAAATACAGCCCCGTCCACAATCTGAGAGGACGATGGGAAGGCTGGGCAGATGAGCACATGATCACACAAAAGCTCAATCCTTTCAGTGAGGAGTTTGATTACGACCTAGCCATGTCCACCCGCCTGCGCAAAGGAGATGAAGGCTATGGCCGTCCTAAAGAAGGTACAAAAACGGCAGAAAGGGCCAAGAGAGCGGAGGACCACATCCACCGAGAGATGAAAGACATGTGCTTCATCATCAGAACGATGGCTCGGCACCGCCGTGATAGCAAGATCCAAGTCACTTTTGGTGACCTGTTTGAAAGATACGTCCGTATTTCGGATAAGGTCGTTGGAATACTCATGAGGGCCAGGAAGCATGGGATGCTGGACTTTGAAGGAGAAATGTTGTGGCAAGGCCGGGATGACCATGTGATAATAACTTTGCTAGAATAATGCTATTCTTCATGGGATAACCCAAAGCGTTATCAGTTCCTGGTAACTCTGGTCAACTATATGTTGACTACTCCAGCTGAGACATCCAAGTTCTTCTTGGGGTAGCCAGTGTTTTGGACCATGATTCCCATCAGTCAGCACACCCATTGGTCAGATCATGGGACCTGTAGTCCATAACAGCTAGAGGACATCATGTTGAATGCCTGCATCATAGAAATCGTCAGAATCTCCTCCCTTTAAGTAATGTCTACATGTTACTAGCAAGTTCATGCTTCTTCAGCCAGTTTTATAAGGCTGAACTGCACAGAGTAGATTAGCATATAAGGGAATGAAGTTTACATTCTATCAGAATGCAAGTAGCTTTGCATCTGTTCAATATATACTGTATGCTTGTTGGGTTTAAGAGCAGCAAATTTATCTATTAACATTTGGAAGTAATGTTCAAGTACCCTGATACCTCAGTTTTAATACTAAGTGGAAACTGGGGCCTGAACTCTTAAGTTTATGGCATTCTTTCTACATGACATTTCAGGTGAATGGAAATAATTCCTAGACTAAGTATAATAAACTATACTGTAGCATTACTTATATAAACTGTGCAATATACCACATTTATATTTACTAAGTCACTATAAACTTCAGGATGGCATCAATTTTATACACTATGTAAGTTAACCTGTAGTTGCTTCAAAATGTATAGCTGGACTATTTTGCTGTGTTTAATTATTTTTATAACTATGTATTTATGACGCCGATTGACAAGTGCTTGAAAAATGTATGGGAAAGCCTCCGGATAAACAGTATTATACTTTTACTGTTTAATGTTAAAATGTACCAAAACAAAACCTACCCCTATCCCATGTTCTCTTTCAAACTGAAAGATCACACATCTTCTTACAGAAGAAAAAAAGATGTATGACTATTTTCAGTCATAAAGCTAATATTGTCAGAAATGTTTTTCAGGCATTACAGATAGGTTGGTGAAAATGCTTTGACTCACAATACAAACTTATTTATTTGCAGTAAATTCCTTATTTTGCTAAGGAATAAATTTCCTACATATATAGGCATGGAATGAGACTTTAGAGATTTGCATACTAACATTGTTTGCAAAACAATGTGCTTTGAAATAAGTGGTGAAAAAAGGCAATACTCTCCTTGAACAAAAAAATTGATTGCTTTTGAGACTGCAAGATTGAGTTCTAATGTACTACTTCAGCTCTCTCTATATATGTGATTTCATTTTGAAGATTGTTTGCCCTTTATAATGCCATTATTTGCTTAGGTTCTATACACAGGTGTGTGCACTTTAGAGCTGCTTTGGGTACCAGTAGTTCTCTAGAATGGGGTCACAAGTGTCCCCAGTCTGCAGATCACAAGGGTAAGTTGTCAAAAAATAATGTGTTGGATATTATTTCTGCCAAATACAAAAACCATCAATCATCAAATTCTTCTTGTTCTTTTACATTAGCAAGAAAGCATTATACACACTCTCTCTCTGGTTGAATCCAACGCTAGTCCAGCTCAAAATTGACCCATTGAAATCATAACCTAAATTAGTCATGTCCTAATTTCAATGGATCTACTCTGAGCAGGACTAGTACTGGAGAAAACTTCATGCGCATGCACACACGGTGGGTTCCATTGCATTATTCTGATTGGAAGCTATTCATTAAGGTGTTGCTTATTGATTACTATACTATATTGTGACATGCAGCAAGCAGAACAACTGTTGCCTATTTCTCCTGAGTCACTGGAGACGATCGACTACAGAAATTTCTCACCATAACAATCAGAGGGGGTTAATCCTAGATTAAAATGTAAGAGCCTTGCTGGATCATACCAAGGTCCATCTCAGCCAGCATCTTTTCTAGCAATAGCCAGCAAAATGCCCACCAAAAACCTATAAGCATCACAGAAGGGAACAGCCCTACCCATGACCAGTAGCCAGAGCTGTATCACCTCTGAACATGGACATTCCATGCAAGTATCATAGCTGTTTACGTCATGTCAGTTCCTTTGATTCGAGTTACCATAAGTCTAGCAACCCCCTGAGATGAGGATGCTTGAAAAGATTTGAAAAGATTTGCAGGCAATTGCAGACAAAATCATCAATAAGTATTGATCAACATGAACTCTGCATACAGCTGCAATGAAAAATATTTTTGTTGGGTTAAAGGAAGATTCTAACTAGGTAAACATTTCAAAGGGCCTTATAAACCTGTAAGATACTATTGACCCCTAATACTGTCTACAATGATACTAGGGAAAGTAATTTGTCTATTATGAAAAGACAAAATATTGAATTTTTCACCCTCTATGCTTCATGTTCAGAAGAAATAGATTCTCTGCCAAGCACTGGTAGGCAAGAAAAACCAAAATAGCCATTCCAACCTGTTTTCAGTTCATCGTCCATGAATGCGGCCACTGAACATTCTCAGACCTCACTGGGTGTCTTGGGTTTTTTTGGGGGGGAGGGTTAAATTTTTATTTCTGTGAAGCTTGGGATCCTCCCAAGTCTGCTCAAACCTCCATCCTGTGCATGGATGGTGCTGTTTTTTTGCTACTGAGCTCCAGGATTCACACTCTGACAACTGGAAATAAGAGGTAGAATCATACGAATTGTAGGGTTGGAAGGGATCCTGAGGGTCATCTAGTCCAACCCCCTGCAAAAGGCAGGAATCCCAACATGCAGTCCCCCATCCAAATTGAAACCATACCGGTAGCAATTCCTTCTTTCCTTCAGGGAATTTGTGTGTCTAAATAAAGTCCCGACTCAAGTTTCATGTTACATGTACTTAAGATTTATTTGCTCTATATCAGTATGACCTTATAGTACTTAAAATCCATTACAGGATTGTTTATAGTTAGTCTTAAACCCACAAAGACAATAATACTGCTGTGGAAGACCAAAGGGGAGAAAAAGCCATTTAATTTATTTACAGTTTCATTTGTAAACATTTAATCTACATATATTGTACTATGTGCTAACAGGAGTAAAGAGCTATACATTGAGACAGAAAACGATGCCCTGTATGTTTAGTTGTATTAAGCATGAGCATATTGTAGAGATAGAACATCCCCTTTCCTGTTACCACAGCAGTAAACATCCTTCCGATAAGTGTTTGAACTTCTGAAAGAACTTTATATTAGCGACATACAATACAACTACAGCTAATGATTTAAGCCAAACCCTTTGGCTTCTTATTCCATTTCTAGAATAATTTAAAGTGCTAGAAGCAACCCGTCAATCAACACTTTCTCTCTCTCTCTCTCTCTCTCTAAAATAACAAAAACTACTTTTAAACATTAATTTACAAAGAAATATATACAATGTTCATCTGGAACAGCTGAGATTTCAGCACAAAATCATTCACTGTCACACTTAACAGCTTTTTTTTTTTTCAATTTTTGCTTTTGCATAAACATAGAATATAAGCTTTGAAACAAACTGTTGTTGAGCGATTATTGCCACAATGGCTTTTCGGTTCTCCTACAAAAGTGAACGAGAGCTACTGATTAACTGTATTTTAGCCTGTCTTGTTTTTCATTTTGAGGTCACGGAACAGTAAAGTTTGCATATTACAAGTCTACTGGGTTACAATGTCTACCTAGAGTACATTACCTCATTGAATCAGAGCTGGTGCTAACTGCAGTTTTACAACATAGATCCACTCAAAAGAAAAAAGAGAGAACACCACACCTATATTTTTTCTCTGTTTTTTTGGACAGGAGCAATTCTTGGAGACGATGTGCTACAAAGCTACAACAGAAAAACTATAAAACAGTATATATATATATCTGACACTTTATGCTGTTTGGGGGAAAAATGCATCTGTTTCATAGTCTTAGAACATATAATGCCCCTGCTATAGCTATGACTTCTCCACTGCAATACGCTCACTTTGTCCAACTGAGCATTGGTATTTTGTTTCTCTTGACCACGTAGCTCAATCGTTACCCAACATTTGTCCCAATCCTGCAGATCATGAACAGCTTGTGCAAAATACTTCAATACAATCAATAAGGGCAGCTACATTTTTACTGTTAAATACAACAGACATGAATTCTCTACGCATGAAAGGAAATGACACCGTTGAATGTGGATGAATACTTTGTCTAGTAAGTGGCACCATCTGAATGGTTAAAAAAAATAAAAATGGCCCAGACTGATCACTGTCAAAAATTTCAGAATCTCCATTTGTCTCTTATTTAGACCAACAGGGACATGTTTCACTACAGTTTGTGTAAATACATGTTTTCTCAATGAAATAGCCCAAAAGAGTATAAGAAAGCTTTGGAGTAGTGGGGGTGGGGTGGGGGGAAACCCAGGGATGACAAGCCACATGACGAGAGAGACCTACCTTCCCCTATAAAGTAAAAACTCCAATTATGACTTATGAGAGCTACATCCTTCAAAAAATATAGCAGGCTGATTAAAAATAACCTAAATAATGTTTTATGTAAAGGTATTTAGATGGCCATGCAGAGAATTTTGAAAGGCATTGCTGCATTATATTGCTTCAAGGGCTTTTTGAGCTGCACTGATCCATTTCAGGTTTGGGACAACCTTTTGTAGTAGCAGTTTATATTTTATTCAAAGCCCCAAATTTCAATGTCTTGAATAATGAAATCTTCTTTCTTAGAAAGAATGCGATTCCCAAATGTTTTGCAAGAATGACTTCTTCCATGGTAGAGATCGCCATCGAGCCAAAGTGCAAATTCACCCCTGGAATATGGAAAAAAGAATTATTTCTCCACAGTAGGAAGCCACCCTCCTTACATGAATTAACACATACATGATTAGAACTCAAGAACAACAGGCATGTTCCATTTCCTTTCCATCCCTGAACACAATTGCAACTGCATTTGAAACCAGCGCATTTTGCTAGGAATTCTTTCCTTGCCATAAATATTTCTGCATCCCTTTTAACTGAAGGGTGAACAGAGACTAATCAGGTAGCATTAAGATTTGACTGTTTAGTTACACCTATTTAGTTACACACACTACTGAAGTTTGGCACCTGCAGACAGAGCACAGTACAGAAATGCAACCTGGTCCCTCACTAAGTAGTTTTTGATCTAATAAAACATGAATCCAGTCTTCCTTGTATTCATCCAGCACTGAAACACCTGAGGGAAAGGTTCAGAGAATTTGGCAGAAGATGAGAGGTCCTGGGCAGAAGAAAAAAGCAAACTTGGGAGCTTGCATAAAGATGGATCAGCACATCACTATTAATATGCAAACACCACATAGAATTTATATGTGTTCAATGTGCTTCACACACAATCTTCTGGCAATCGTTAGAACAATCCTGTGAGACAGGTCAGTATTCTTCTCTCCTGTGTTGCACAGGGAATGAAGATGAAGCTGAAGCAATAGTGGCTCACCTTAGGCTACATAGCAAGTTCCAAATGTTTGAAATGCACAGTTTTGAATTCACAGCTCAGTTTGCTAGCTGTTATGCTATACCTGCACTAAATCTAACATCTGGAGGGCACCAGATTGCAGAAGGCAGTAGGATAGGGAACTGGTGGCCCTCCAAAATGTGGTTTTTTTTGTGTGTGTGTGTTTTTTTGAGGAGGGGATTTCAACTCCCATCAGCTGCAAAGACCATGGCCAAAGGTCAGGGATGATGGGAACTGCACTCCCACAGCATCAGATTCCTGCCTTAGAGCTATTCTCTCTACATTGCTTCACCTCCCACTCTTCTCTCCATATCTCCCTGCCCTTGGACATTCTGTTCATATGAAGGGAATATTCCATTTCAACTGAAACTGTGAGTGAAGGTTATATGGGAGAGAGAAGGAAATACTATAGGAAATGATAGCTCGGAAACAATATTTAATGTAAAAGAAGTCAACATGGCCATGAACAAAGGGGATTAATTCTTGGATGTGACCCCAAAATTCTATTTGCAAACACTGGTAAGTGTATAGATTTATCAAGAAGCAAAAGCATTAAGATGTCTAGAAGCAGATAGAAGAGGAGAAACGGTACAGTGTCTTAAGAAGACCACTTCAAAGTGAGTATATATATGAAAAAAAGGCTGTAAGAGCTGCATTTATAATCAGGACTGCATAATTCCTTCAAAGTAATGTTTTATTATTCAAGTATCATAGCTACAAGGTTCAATACAGTTAACAGCATACCACTTCTGTATCTGAGGGCTTTATCTGGTGGAGGGGGAACCCACCATAAAAACCAATCCTTAGTAAGAAAATAAATAAATTCATCACTCACCCTCCGCCACCAAAAGCTAGGGCATCCATGTCGCCTTTAAGAAAGAACATATTGTCCCCAGTCCACGTGAAAGTCTAATGTTAAAAGAATGAAAAAACAACAGCCAGACACAGTGATTATGTGAAATTACTACCCCAGGGAAAAAATGGCCAGGGGTGGGAGGGGAGTAAAGCAACGTCAATGGTTTTTGTTTCAGAGAGTACTATGGATAATACTTTATAAGCAGGACCTGCTACAAAACATTGCTGCATGAGCCTCCTATGCCTTCTTCCAGGATATTGATACTATTCCTGCATTGCAGGGGGTTGGACTAGATGACCCTCAGGAACCCTATCTATGAGTCTATTATTCACCCTTCCCAGGTTTCTGTTTCTTGAT